TTGTAGATGAAAGTGAAGAATGATCATCGCAGTAAATTTTCCAATTTAAGCAGTTGGAAAGAAGAAGCCTTTCTGCGACCGGGCAGTTTCTTGCGCAATTATCTAGTGTTCGTGCTACAGTCGTATTTGTTCGGAACAACTACGATGTCATCTTCGTACAGTGCTCGTCATGACTGAAGACACGAGGTGCTTTACAGAAAGAAACTTTCTATTTTCCTTGTTTGCCCGCTTTAACTTAGTCCAGCTCGATCTTACAATTTCTCTTATTCACCGTATGAAATAAATGAAACAATCGGTCTAAAAACCTTTAGAAAAGTATAAAAGGATGTTAGCTGGTAAAAGAATCCAGCTAAGAAGAAGTATGCAATAACTGTGGCTGATCACTATAGGACCTATAGTTGAAAGGAAACCTTAACTACTGAAAAATCGGCCAAGGGAGGATTTTAAAACAAGCTACCCTGAAACCCAGTTTGATCTCACATTGTCCTCTAGGCTCGTTATGAAGTCGAGCTTTCACAGAGACAGGATTTAATTTAACATAATCTACTCATGGTAATGTCATTAAGCTGTAAAAGCCCGAGCTCTTTTTCTAAAGATTTGAGTAAAGAATGTCGGGTGGATATGTTTTGCTTCAGTTTGAAATTAAAGGCAGTCGAATTTCATGGACTTGCTGTTTCATGTACTGTTCAAGGCAGCACTAAATAAGAGGTCGGCACATGCAAAAGTTTCAAATAACAATGGTTTAAATGTCACGGGTATAAAAGGCCTCGTTTCTTTTAAGATGTCGCACATGTCTGAAAAAAACTTTCAATAAATCCAACTTGAAGAGGTTTGTGTCTTTATTTGCAGCTTAGAGGAAGCTTACCGCAAATCGAGTTCGAGACAAGTTCTAGGCAAAAGCTTTTGAATCGTGTACTGATATAGATCATCCTAGCTTCGGAACAAAAAAACAGTAACGGTGATTTATTTCAGTGTATAGAACTCTTTTACTATATGAACCTGGGATGTCAATCAAATGGAACAATGTTCTTGTGAGGGATCGGTGGTCAGGTGTCATGGTCCCGTCTATTGTTCCCGTTAATAAAACGGCTCTTCTCGTTAGCTGCCAAGCATCAATACTTACGTTCGTCAACTGTATTTCCCATAGTCTAACAGGGAGGCACATCACAGAAGAACCAAGTGTGTTTTGACATGTGAATCAGGGTTCGTTTACTCGCGGGAGATTTTAATTTCCGGCCTCATTGTGTGGAAACCCGTTTGAAGATCCAATCCCACGGGAAGGCATTTCAATGGCTTAATTATCGCCTTATGCCCATCATGGGTACTGGTGATATTCTATTCGCTAATCTTTTTAATTGCGTGAAACTTCAGTTATAGGTCATTGAGAATATTGTATTTACTTTATGGGCAGCTGTATGCCATACGATGTTTACACACCTTGGAAATACAGAATCGGCGAATAAGCCTCGATCGCCGTAAAATGCAACCTCCCATTTCATACCTTCATTGAAAATTCCTTTAATAATCTCCAAACCCCTTTCTCAGCCAATGAAAGCCCTCTGAATTACCTCTGCCTGTACGCTATTCCACCGCTAACGACGTTGTCGTCTATTAATTTGTCGGCCTCAAACCGCTTTTGTTGACATATCATTTGCACCGGCGAGACGCCTTGTCTTCGCCTTGTTATTTTGTGTTCATTCTTCAATGAAATAACTTCGGCACTTTTAACAATCAATTCTTGTCGCCTGGAATAACGCAATGAAAGTGCATCTTTACTGCTTTGAAGCAGTTATAACGCGTGATATTAGCTACCAAAAATGTCTTCAGCATGCCGACTTTTGTACTTACTTGAAGTTTAAGCCTTCGTATCAACGCTGATATTTCCGTCACATCCGTGCCCACATAGCCACTTATTTACCTTTGGGCTTTCGTGAAGAAATAAACTTGGGACACAAAGAAGCAAAGTCGTTATTATAATCGCTAATGGTCGCTTTTATTTTCTCAAAATCAAGAGGTATCTTGCAGTAAGACGATAATCGATGGCTACAGTGCTGCTCTGATGCAAGGTTACTATGCTAGGTTTGAGATAAGTGTGACAAATTTGGCTCGCCAAGGGGCAATAGAGGGATGGCAAACAATTCGATAACTTGAAAGTGATTGGAAAATCAAAGATTTGAAATGTCACAGTGGAAACGTTCGTATTTCTTTATTGAACTCGCTTAGCTGTGAATTGCGTAAACCTAACGAAAAGAATCATAGTTCTCACATTAATTCAGTAATCTGGTAATTTTTCTTTCAGTTCTAAGGGGAACTGATTGTAGTGAAAAAAAACCTTGTCGCATGCAATTGACAGGAAATAGATTTATTACTAAGCAGCTAACCCAAACTTCAACTATTTGTTTAAAGATGTTGAAAAACGTTTAATAAACTGGTGGTCGGACTTTCCAGTCTATATGGGAGCTGTATTTGTAAACTGCTTCACGAGCTGACAATAAAAACGACGTGGTGTGCACTTATTTCATAATTAAAAACCTCGCCGAAGTGGCAGGCAGCAACAAAAAATTAAAATGGCAGTCAGGTAAAACAAGTCATGTCCTCGAAAATAGAAAAACGTGTAGCTTACTTCAAGAAAAATCAATAAACCAGGCTTATAAAGGGTATGCGGCGAGTGCTGAACAACTCGTTAAAGCCGACAAATTTAATTGAGAAGAGCTCTTGGCAGTTCAAAAAAATGTAGCAGCTCGAAAAAATTGCGAAACAAATTTCTACGGAAAGCATAAATTTAGAAACGCGTTTGTTGTATAACTAATTAAGACCTGCGATGGCACACTTCAAGTGCGTAATATGTTGGAAATTAATTTCTAGGATCGTGAAAACAAAACAAATGTCTCTAGTCAATATTCCGCAGTCTTTCAAGCTAAAGAAAAAGACTATGAAAAGGAGAACGCAATTTAAATTGCTGTTTGTAAAGGATATGAGCTAGTTCCTGCCTAAAAGTGACATGGCTGTCCAATTTCCCCTTGCAATCGTTTGTATAGTTTATCGTGACAAAAAGGCTCTTGAATTCTAAGCCCACTCGAAATAAAGCTGGTATCTGCGTGTTATCTTATGAAGCGAAATGCACCTTGTAAATTCATGGCATCTAAATATGCATTTCTGAGGTTCAATTATTTGGCAAGTTTTTATTTGGACAGAATAGATCTCGGACGAGTTAACAATGAACCAGAAGTGTGACCTTAGAGGAAACGGCGTAAGAAAAAATTTCGCTAGTCAGAAAGGAAAGCTGATAAAGTTGGTAACAGTCATCTTTCACTTCCGAAAACAACTTGCCTTAAGCTAAGTATCTTAAGTTATGCCCACCTTTTGATGTTACGAGTACATGACATTTCTAACATTTTTAACCAATGTAAATGGGTTAGAGAGGGAAGTTAGAATACAGTAAATTTAATTTGCAACGGAAAACTGAGCTGATCAATATGGGCTGTAGTAAAAATAAAATAAAGATTATCTCTAGATGTTTTAAAAAATTCACGGCTTGGACGGCTTGACGAATCACAAGACTGTGCAACACGGCAAATTAAGTCGGTAATTTTATCTCTCGCTTTCCCTCTCAAAGGTAGCAAACGTTTCATATATTACATTGAATAAAAAAGATATGACATGTATTTCATGATAACTAAATAGGTTGAAAATCAACTATTCACATATAACCTCATGTTTAGCAGTATTGGTTGCAATGGAAAGTTTATGCAAGACCGTCTTTTTGTGGTTAAGTTATGGTGCAAACAGCTTTCTGCCGCGGGCAGAAACCCGCGGGTCGGAGTAGTGTTTCCATATTTTTTAAAGAAAGAAAAAAAAAAAACGAGCAAAACATTTTAGTCAAGGCATAAATCCTCATCATGGAAAGAGAATTATAGATGCATAATAAATCTTTGTTCATCTGTATACTGAGGAAGAAGGATTTGTTTGAAGGCCATAGATACTTACAAAACACGTTTGTATATGGTTTTTTTTTTACTTTTTTTTGTCTCTTTTTTTTACACCATCATGCAGAATGTTAAGTGTTTACATTTAATGCCGCAAAACCACATCGCATCAAAGTAATCCAGCTCCTTCGTTGGTTTTTATTTTTCAGCTTAACACCGCTTTGCAGCTGCCGAAAACGATTATTTACAAACCCTTCGCCTTGATGTGGTCTTCAAATCTCGCTTAAGCAACTATCGCCGCTGATTCAACCTCTCTTTTATGGAACTCCCGTTCGCCCCCACCTTTAATATCAACACATGCCTCCGAGAGACGTTGACATTACTATGTTCCCGCACTCCTCGACTTTCAATTTCAAACTCTTTATTAAAAATTAAATTAAAAGTTTAAACAGCCGCCTCCCAGCTGGACCGGTGAGACAACCAGTGCGGTCGCCATCAAACGACGAGATAGGACAGTTTAGGTGTCTTTCTACACAGTGAATAGTGCTTTACCAGATGAAAAAAAAATCTTAATTGCTAAATATCCTAGTTGGGCTCAATAGAGATAGCTGCTAACAGACAACAAAAGAGACAAGTTATTCTGTGTTTTGAAATAAAAGATCTCTGTTTCTTTCCCTAATATGCAGACACTATTTTCTTACAAAAAGGGCGTGAAGCAATAATATACAACAGGTATCCCACAAATTGTACAACATTGGATACCGTCCATTGGGTTTTGCAATAAAGAGAAAAAAATCAAATCAAACACATAATGAGTAATCGAATATATATTCTTTGAAACACATACAACATTATTTCTTCGTAAAGGACTAGGAAGTAAAAGACATAAGTGAGCAGTATGATCTATACGAAATTCGTGGATCAGTGTTGCCCCGTGGACGAAAGGTAAACAATGTGTGTATTTGTAAAAAGCGGTTAACTCGTTACCGAATTTCCTAAACTGTGCAGTGTTTAACTAATTGCACCATCAAAACGATGGTGTTGACTAACAAGCATCTAAACTTTGTCTACAAAGGTCTAACGATTTAAAAGGAGAGCAAGTTTTTGTAGAATACTTCTTGTATAATATAACAAGGAATTCACTAATTTCGTAATATACAGAAAGTGGTTTTCAAGAACCCTCCCTTTGCGTCGAGTTAACGTACTTTATATCCTCATATTAAATCATGAAAAACAAAATAATCTAGAGCTGAGTGGAAAGAAATACCAGATGAAATCTTCTCTCCAATTATAGAACCAATGGAATAACAGTTGTGAAGACAAATGATATGCTGTTCAACAAAAGTCTTCAATTCATTTTTTAATGGTGTTACTTAAAACCACGCAAAGTAGAAACAGAGAATTTTCCTCGTTTAGCTCCTACTTCAACGTTGTTACCTTACTAGTTATCGAGCTAAACTCACATGTAAGCTTTCCTTAAATTATCTCAGAAACTGAGAGACACGAAAAGCTTTTTTCTGCCCAAATGTACCTCTGAATGGATAAAGTAAAATTCGCTTATTGCCCTTCCTGAAGGGCAATGAGTTAGGATCCAAGCTATGAACATAAGCGTGTCTTTTATTTTATGCCTAAAATATTTCTTAACTTAGCTTCGATAATAATACTTCGAACTGAGAAAAAAAAAACAAATCAGTCTTATAAGATTCATAAATCCACAAAGCCAACAACAACTTCTTGTAGAAATGCCAACGTAAAGTGCACTAAAAGATTCATTACTTCAAACTTCACGTACAAATAAAACGCCAAGTGTGTCATTGGAGTTCTTCGCGACAGTTCTTAAGTTCTCGTGATCTCCCGTTTATTTTGACCTCCATTTGAGAATACTGTTCATCTTTTCAGAAACAGCGTGAGTTTGGTAACAGGCTTTTATGTCCCTATAGAGGTTAAAACAATGCGGCTTATTATAGTACCTACTGTTTTAAACAGAAACGCGACCTGATATGGTGTTTTATTTAGCATGTCAGAATGTGTTTGTAGTTTGTTGACTCTGTAGCTGTAAAACGATTTAATGAAAGTAAAAGGCCCTGAGCCTGCCGACTGGTCGAAACTAGTTATCTTCATCAGTCAAAAAAAAAATCAATATAGTTATTAACGTTCTGAATTTGAATCAAACTAGTTAAACGTGATTTTTTTTTTCCCCTTTTGTTTGCGGGTGTTGCCGCGGTTGCCCGCGGCACGTTGAACATTTGCGCAACTTTTACATGCTGGCCAAATACTGAAGTATTACTTCTTAGTTGCCACGTGTTTTAACACTTGGGTTCAATGTAATGCCGCTTTCTTCACACAAAATTTACACTGTTAAATTTACTGATGCTTATCTGAGCCGATCATCCCAAAGTTTGGCCACTGAGTAAAGTTCGGTACCAATTGAATGTCTCTTCTGCCTTTGTTGTTGGTTTGGAAAGAATCTGATTTCCGTTATTTTTGTAGCACTCCATCATTCCTTCAATAACTGAGATTGAATTGTCATTAACTAAATGACTGAGCATAATAAAACAGCTTTTTGGTTTTCGAATTGGGACATAGTATATTCTGCTTTCCTTTTCTCTTCGTTTTGCCATTTCAAAGTCTCTAAAACGCTGAACAAAAAACTGCTGAGGCCAAAACTGTACAAGTCGATGTGTTTACTAACTACGTTCCACGAAATGTATAGTACTTTGTTGCATTTTGGTTCCTGTACTTTACAAAAACGTTAAAAAATAATTATAACCGAAAAATCGACTTCCGTTTAGCGATTACTTTAAGGATTCGTTCTTGCGTCTACTTAAGACATTAAGCTACCCACAAAGTCAAAGTTAAGTAATCACGAAGTACTTTAGAAGTGTCTTCACCAATTAAACTAACAATTTCAACGATGTTTTGATCAGTAATAAATTTGATAATGTCTCGCAATTTATCTCCTGTAGTTTGGATTATAGTGTCCCTATTTCTCTACTATACCTTGATATGTCCCTTTCTGGGGCAAGCCCGCTTAAGTTACGAGAACCCAAGGCGGCGGGGTGCGCTGTTCATTGTCACGAGTGAAAATCGGTTTGTCTTGCCGCGTGCCACGGGTACATCCTACTACAGTATGGTACTGGAGCAATGCGGCCAGCCGCCGAAGAAGAACCGTACCAATTAAGATGCGAGAAATCGAAATTGGGCCGCAACGGCATGTATGGGGCATCCAAACTCCTGTAGGGCACAAATCCATCGCATGATTGAGGGCGGAAGCTCTGGTAAATGACACTATGAGGGTTGTGATCCGTGTGTGTTGGTTTAGCGTGAGAGCTGTGTGTGATTTCTTCGTTGCTTGCGCTGGGTTCGGCGTGAGGTAGCAATGTTTCCGTGGGGAAGGAAGGCCTCGTGTCATTTATGGGGAAGTGGTATCTGCTATCGAAAAACCCCGCTGTGTCGTGAGGGTAGAAGCTAAACTGGAACGGTGTTCCATGCAGAAGCTTGTTCCTTTTGTTTGTTTTATCACGTTTTCTCGGTTGGTATTTGTAATCAGGATAAAGTTGTTTGTGTTCTTCCTTCAAACGCTTGGCCTCCTCAAAGTAATTCGCTTTCTCTTCCTCCGACAACTTCTGCCATTCCAAGCCGAGCTTTCTGCTGATATCGAAGTTGTGCATTTGCGGGTTTTCGTTGGCAATGACTCTTCTCCTCTTCTTAGACCATAGAATGAAGGCGTTTAGTGGCCTCTTAATCTTCTCTGAGGTCTTTGAGTTGTCTGTGGAGGAACTCGAATCGTTCGCGTTCATCTTGCGGACAAGGCAGTTGCAATTGTCGAGTCGACCTGTTGTTCTATTCAAACCGGCCTAACTGTCTGACACCTTCAATCATTAGCCGGTCAAATCTATCCGCGTTCAGTGCGCACTCGCAAGTTGCTGCGTGCGAACAATTAAGAGGGAAGCGCGCAGTTCTGTGATAGCAAAACACTAAATATAGAGCCCAGAATGCACGTGTTAATTATCTGGACCTCAAAAGATACAATATTGCTTGATATAGTCCATAAATCCTCCCACACAAAGTAATTAAAGCTCTTTGAATAAACTAACTGTTTTGTTATTGCTGGTTTTATTGGTGATACATTCTTTGTCTTTCAGGACAAGTTAATTTCAATACAGAGAAATGAGGGCCTTACTGTCCAAATGTAAACAAACAAATACCCTTTTGCAAGGCGTGATTGATATTTTTATAGACTTCTTCTGTAAAACTGAACTCATTGTGTGCTCTGTTTACAAATCTCTGAATCGCACTGTGAACATAAATCGGTACAAGTTTAATATGTTTGGAAATTAGCATTTTTCATCTCGGAACGCGCGCTATTAGCAACTTTTGTCTAAAGAAAACCAAACATCACCAGGAAAAAGAACGCGATAATTCCACCCGTTTGTGTTATTAGGTGCTCGTCAAGACCTTAAACAACATTTTGTTTAATTTTTGCAAAAGTAAACTCGAGCTTTTTTTGTACTAATTTTGGTTCGGGATCTCTTGAGATAAACCGTCTTTAAACATACCGTTTATTACAAATCTGCCGATCACATTTTCCGACTTGTTATAGTATTAACAGACTGTTCTGTGTTTGAGAGCTGGCCTCTATTTACCGATTTGTCAAATCGGTTGACAACATTTGGAAGGGTCAGAAATAAATGAAGACTAAATTTTGTTTTAACCGTGGGAAGAATTTGCGGATTACGCCGTGAACCCATTTTGCAACCTGCCAGCTCCGCTTACTTCTCAAAAGGCCGACAAGTGTTATAAGCCGACACGATATCGGTTTTGTAAAGCCAGGTTGTCATTTAAAAGGACTTCAAAAAATGCCGAAAACACAAAAGATTAGCAGTTTTACTTTGTACATATCCCGCTAATACGACTCTGTTAGCGCCGTTTTATTTGAAACGAGTTTTATTACAATATAAACATGTGACGATTGCCTTTGCAAGCTACGCTTAGCCGCGAACGACAAAGGTGAATGCAACCTGAAATTGTGACCCGCGGTTATGAAAAACCTTTCTTATCTCATTTGCATTACTTTGCAGTCAAGAAAGAAGTGTTCATTTCTTTTTCGTCGCAGTGTAAACTAACAAACAAAACATAAATTTCACTATGTGTTCCCTCTGTACACAAACAGGTCATGTCGCAAGCAACTTTAAGGCCACAGACGGTTGAAAAAAAAAACAGGAATGTAGTGGGTCGATTATATCTAACAGTATTCGTTCGCAAAGACAAAACGGTAAAGTTTGACTTTGTAATTTCTCTTTCTAAACGTTAACTATATTTTAATTGGCTGCAATTCGTCAAAGATTTTAGCAATAATTATAAAGAAAGCATAAACCGGCACTTTTGTTTATTTTACTTTTAATTTATTTCTCCTGAGAAATTAAGACGCTATCGGACAAGATTTTAATAACTGCTGCTTGTTGTAACACTTAATCTATGCAAAAGAACGAACTAGAAAAGGAGTTTCAACGAAATGGGCTTGGAGATTTGATAATTCTATTAATGCTTGCGAATGCCCCGTTCACTTTTTAAGTCAATTGTCCCTGCGAGCTCAACACCGATCCGTACTTTGATCCGTTGTGTTCATAGATTAAGCGGCGAACTCGTCAACTTTCTAGCAGTTTCCCGGTTTGTATCACACAAGGGAGAATATGGTAATGAGCCGAGCTGCTCAAACAAAAGCACATCAGGATCTTAAACAATAATCACCGACTTGACACATCAGTTGTGCAATAGTACTATAATGCACATTTACGTGTTCGAAAACAGTGTTGTAAAGAAGCTTAACACTATTGAAAACTTCATCATGGCTGCATGCTGAGAAAACAGTTTGTTTCCGTTAGGTATTTGAGGTTTTTTCTTCTTTTTTTTTCTTTGACGGCTGCCCTAGGGAGGACTGAATGAGCCCTTACGAAGGATGCACTAAGCAATGCTGTGTAAAGCCGTAGATACAACACTGTATGTCAACACAGTTGGCGTGGCAAATACGGTTTGCTGCGCACCTAATGTGCAGAATGTGTCTTCTGCCTTCATGGCTACATTCGTGTTTATTTAGTTCTGTCCGTGCACATACAAAAATTATTAATATTTTTGTTCATTTTGGTGTCAACAAGACCATTTCCGCTCAACAGTCAAACAACAGACAGTATTTGGACACTGTTAATTTCCGTGACTTAGTCATTTGAAAAAAATCGAAAAGGGAACATTTCTATTGGTGTTTGGTCATGCGCAACTATGCCCAATAAAACAGTGCGGCTAAATGCCATAAAGGACAAGAATTAGCCGTATGTCTAAGCAGTTATTTTAATGACTTGGAGTCGCGAGCTTCTGTTTTGTTTCGTTTTAGCTCTAAATGGTGTTATAACGAGTTTAGATGAAACTTTCTGATCTTCGTAGCAAATGGTGACAGTTATTTGTTTGCTAAAGCACATGATATGTCAGGCAATAAGAGCCTTTGTATTACTGGGCTGTCAGACGATCTTTAACTCATGAAACCTTAGTTCTTTCAAACGTGGCCACGTGTGTCTCCATGTCCTCGCACAACTTGGTAGCAACGAGACGAGAAGTCGACTCATTTTGGGTTTCTTAATCTTAGCTTTGACAGCTATCTTAAGAAATAACGCAATCAAAACTAGTACGAGATTATACCGGAAAACTACGCGTGAAAAGGAGAGCAGAACATTTGTAGTCAATAACGGAGAGCTATGAATACGCAAATTGTTATCCACCTCAACTAAGCAGAGGGAGGTCCCGTGGCCTGAATGGGAAGGTGCCCCTGATAAGAACAAAGACCCCCCACCCTTCCCCCCTCACACCAAAGGTCATTGCTTTCAAACTGCTACGAGCTGCAATCGGATCACGTTTTGTAGTTGTAATAATTTGGTCTAAAAACCGGGTGTAGCTTCTTAAGGAACTGCGAGAATGTAATTATTGCTTTTCAATCGGGATTTCATTAGAAAAGTTAAAGCGCAATTTATCGCTTCATATATGCGAGCCGTGGATTAACTTATTTTATGCACGTCATTCGTAAGTATTCCATGAAAACGTTAATGGCTGTTAATGGTGAGCAATTTAAATGGTTGGATAATCTTTTAGAAATTTTGGGAAGTTATCGAAACAAGTAAAAAGCATACCAAGAAAAGAACACCGGGCAAAAACAAATGTAATGTATGGCTTTGCTAATCGCTCGTGGACAGAAATAGGCCGCTGCAGGCTTTCCTTCCAATCTTTAAGATATATATAAATCTCTCATTCACTTGGCATATGCAGCGTTTGAGATCCTGGGCTGTCTCCTGCACCTGAGCTACAGAGTTGTCCCTTAGTGAGATGAAGCTGGGATTTGAAAAGTCCGCTCTTTAGATTTGTGTCATAAATATACAAACGCAAGGCCACTAAAACGAAGTATGCCAGCACTAGTTGTAACAGTGCTCGGAACTGCAAGTTAATTAAAATAAAAGTATATGTTTTATGTTTTAATGCTTTGCTGTGTAAACGTGGTGCAGATGGAAAATGCGCTCTTGACTTGAGGCAATCGTGAGAATTACTCAATAGTGGCAGGATGACGCCATGTATGCGCCTAAAATACTTACTCACATTAGGAGCGTGACCGATTCCACGAGGTTCAGTACCAAGTTTACGCGTTTAGTACGTTTAGACGCGACAACAAAAGGCTGGGCTATATGCTCCCTACCACCCATAGGAAAATTTTGAAACTCGACGCATACTATTACCTTACCTTTCCTTACCTTACCTTACCATGTCTTTGAATCTTTGTACAGGCTGGAGCTTTCAATGACCTATCATAGTCAAAAGAACAGTCCTGTCTGTCCAATGAAGATTGTCTTTAGTATTTTTTTATTCGAGTCACACTGCAGGTCCTCTGTTCCACGATCCACATGGCTCCTACTTTATAGGGTCTGGTTAGGGTTAATCGATCGCTACAGCTGAGAATTAGTCACAACGTTAACTGCCAGCTTAGAAAGCAGAGATATGGGATCTTCAAAATTTACTGATTCTGGTAAGCTGGTATACTGCGAGCAGAGTCGCTTCGATCTTTCCTAGATAAGTCGGGAAAGAGGAGGACGACGTTGCCAACGGCTTCGAATTGGTTTGATTTGCGGTTCATTCCAAGATTTGACTGATGAATTAGACGAGTTTTGTAACTGTGCCTATCGATTTTACCTAAGCACGCATGCGTATTCTCCAGTTTCTCCAGTTTTTCACCTTACTCTTTTCCGACTGATCTCAAGGAACGATCTAAGCAACTCTGCTCGTAGAGTATGTGGCTGGCATATGGGCTAAAATTTTAACTGATGAGTGGGATTATTACGGTGGCATTCCTTGCACTCTTTTTTGGTGGCTAGGACCAGAGAGGTTTTAAAGCGGTCAGCTTTTAATTGTTAAGTTTTTCTATCTTGGTGCTGCAAAGAGCGGCTTCTATTGTTATGCATCTTAATGGAAGACGAGTGAACAAGAAAGAGAGAACTGTCGATGTCGTTGTTTGGGTATGTCAAAGCTGCTTAATGAACCACGGCCGGTTTTAAAACACTTAATTCATTAACTCACTACTGTTATGAAACTTTTGATGCAATGGCTGTGCATCCAGAAGGGGGAACTCGTGTTAGTCAGTACCCACGGACAAACGCCGGTGTTTAGAGTGAGTGCACGGGTGTGGTTGACAAGGAGTGTTTTATTCGTATGTTTGACTCATAGCCAACATGATGCGGTCAAAAACATAATAAACATAACACTCTATATCAGTCCATCCGCAACCAATGGATTTACAAGCACGTGGCTCAGGCAATACGAACCGGATATTTGAGATTTGGATTGATGCCGGAGTATACATAGAAATTACTTACATGTAGGTTTAACTGTCAGTTATATATGTTGTAAAGAGGGAGAATCATACTACAATTGTTTGAGGGGGTATCAGAAGCTATCTTTCCAATCCCTCGAAATTCGTTAACACTTAACGGCTCCTAAGCAATTCATAAACACATAACTTTA